CACCCCACCCAGCCGCACCCCCCAGTGCCTCCCTGCCCTCTGCATGGGGTGGGGCACCCCATGGGTGCGGGATAGCAGGAGCCTGGGGGGGGCTTTGGGGATGGAGAAGAGGCAAGGGCTGCAGATGTACCCTAGAGAGGAGAGATCTCCCACCTTTTTCCCGGGATGGGGGATTTGGAAACACAACGCCTTGAAAAGACCTGGGCTCGTCTGCCTGGGTCGGGATGCCTGGGCAGGTTTTGGTGGAATGGGGATGGATGGGGCTGTTCCCTGCTTCTTCCAGAGCAAGAATTGGGGAGCACCAGGTAAAACAGGCAGGTGTGAAACAAGCAGGAGAAGGGGGTTCTTTGTGGGAAACATAGCTGAACCGTGGGACTGCTGCAGGGGTCGTGGGTGCTAAACCCCTGTGTGGGATCCAAGCATGGTTAGACAAAATAGTGCCAGAAAAGCACCGGGAGGAGGATGAAATGCAAAACCACTTCCTCTGCCATGGGAAGAGCCTGTGCTGCAAGGGCTGGGGTTGGGAGCAGGGATGTGCAGGGGGTGCAGTTTGGGAGGGAGTGTGGTGCAGTGCTGCTCTGGAGGGTGGCTGGGTCCCAGAGGTGGGACTGCTCCTCACCCTAAGGTCCAGGGACCCTCTCTTCTCATGACGTCTGGCCAGACTCAGTGGAGCCTGCTCTTGTGCCTCACCATGGACATGTCCAGGTGTGCCAGGCTGCTCTGCGTGCATAGCCTCACAGAGGGGCATCTTGGGCACCCACTAAGGGTGCTCCTCAGTTCCAGCTGCAGGTGGGTCCCAGAGGTGGGACTGCTCCTCACCCTAAGGTCCAGGGACCCTCTCTTCTCATGACGTCTGGCCAGACTCAGTGGAGCCTGCTCTTGTGCCTCACCATGGACATGTCCAGGTGTGCCAGGCTGCTCTGCGTGCATAGCCTCACAGAGGGGCATCTTGGGCACCCACTAAGGGTGCTTCTCAGTTCCAGCTGCAGGTGCAATGGCCGTGGCTCAGAGAGGACATTTTTCCTCCAGAAACAAAGAACACTGGTGCCTGATTCAAAGCCACAACAGGTCCTGCCCTGTCCTGGTCTTTTCTTCCCCCCTGCCAGAGGTGCAGGTCAGAGCAGCATTGCACCCCGATTTCAGCTCATGATGGGTACATCCTCGCAGGACACAGTGCCCCTAGAGATGGGCAGGGACTGTGCTGTGACACCAGCCCAGTTTCAAGCAGAGGTGGCAGTGGGGACTATAGGTGCTGGGATGGATCTGGGTACTGCCAAGATACCTCCTTCTTGGGGCTGCAGATAAAGAACCAGGTCAGATCCTCACACCAAAGCAAATGAGTAGGCATTCATCTTTAATGGGTGTGAATGAGGGTGGGAGGAACGCGGGGATCCTGGATCCAGACCTACTGCAGCCTGCGTTGACCTCAGCTGTCCGACCCCCGTCCACAGGTGCAGGGGTGTCCTCTCCTCCTCTTGCTTGGTGAGCAGGATGGGGTATGGATGCTGCTAAGGAGACATAATCTTGTTACCATCTACTGTGTCTCTAGAGCAGGGAAGAAGCAATAAGGTACATCTGAAATCTGGGTCTGGGAGGGGGCAATGTTGTGAGGGGGTCGAGGAGACCTCCTTGTGCCCTGAGAGGGAGTTTTAACCTCTCCGGGGCCCGGCCTTGCAGGCAGCGGGCAGATCCAGCTGTGGCAGTTCCTGCTGGAGCTGCTCTCGGACCGGGCCAACCTGAACTGCATCGCCTGGGAAGGCACGAACGGGGAGTTCAAGCTGATTGACCCCGACGAGGTGGCGCGGCGCTGGGGCGAGCGGAAGAGCAAACCCAACATGAATTACGACAAGCTGAGCCGGGCACTGCGTTACTACTATGACAAGAACATCATGACCAAGGTCCACGGCAAGCGCTACGCCTACAAGTTCGACTTCCACGGGAGCAGGTGTGCCAGCCGGCCACCCCTGATCACACCCTCTACAAATTTCAGGGCAACCTGGCTCCACTGCCCTTCTCAGGCATCTCCAAACTCAACCTCATGACCTCGGGGGTGACGCCAGCTGGTTTCTCCTACTGGCCTGGCTCCAGTCCGTCCCTCTACCCTGGGCACGGGCTCCAGCCCTCTGCCCCATTCAGTGCCATGGCAGCCTCCCACCTCAACAACATGAACAACCATTACCATTAGAGGCTCAGCTGCCCCAGGTGGACCTCCCCGTCCCCAGTGGCGTGGGGCTGTGGAGCTCAGCAGGGAGGGATGGGGGGGTGGGATCATGCCTTGCTCTCAGTTTCCCCCTTTTAGATTTGGAGAGTGGTGTGAGGGGTGAGGGGTGCTTGCAGGGTAGATGGGTTGGTTCCCCGAGGTGGGTGACTGAAGGACAGGAGCCATCCAAATTTAGGTTGAGGAGAGATCCATGATCCTTGGAATGGATGTGGATTCCTAAAGCAGGATGTCAATGGAAGTAAAACCCATGAGCTCTCCTCCTGTCAGGGACTGTGCCCCTCCTTTCCTTTGCAACATGCCACCCATCCCATGAACATCCTTAGCTCTGCCCCCAGCCTGTGCCTGTCCTCCCCTCTCCCTGCAGAGAGGAGTCAGGAGCTGGAGCCCCAGGGCAGCTTTGTCCATGGGTGAGGGTCCCACTGGGCAGGGGCAGGGAAAGGGGACCCTCCTTGCCATTCCTTGGTCCCCCACGCTTGTCTCCAAAGCTTTCCTTTCCTCCATCCCTCCTACACCTCCTGCTGACAGTGGCCTCCTCCAAACCTCAGGAGAAGCCTTGGTTTGGAGAGCAGGTGCTCTGCACAGGTTAACTCCTGCTGGGGCAGGTCTCTGGGCTTGGAGGTGCCAGGGACAGGCATGGGGGGCACTGCCAGCTCTCAGGGCAAGGCCAGAGCCAGGAGGGAGCACAGCCTGGCCCCTGCAGCTCTGCCCTCTCCCCAGTGCCCAAGGATCATGCCACAGAGCAGGGTGGTCATCAACACCCTGCACATGATCCCAGGTCCTGCTGGTCACTTCCAAGTTTAATGCTCCAGTTTTACTGTGGTTTTAGCCTCTGGCATGCAGGCCTTGGTAGGACACCCTCCACCGGTGGGGACATCCCCTGGGGCAAGGCTGAGTGGGAGGTGGAGCAGGAGAAAGGATGACAGCAGGGCTGGGAGCCCCAGGCACGGAGGGGCAGCCCTGGGTCTCTCCCCCTGGGTCCAAGGAGGTGCCACTATCCTCTGGAGCAGGACTTTGGCCCAGTGGATGGAGAAGAGCTGGGCATGCCGGGCTCTGTTCTGGCTGGGGGGAGGGATTGGTCTTCAATAAAACAGAGACATGCTGTGACCTGTGTCCTCTCATGTCTGCAGCAGGCTGGCGAGAGGGGAAATCACCCAGCAAATCCCCTCCCATCTGAGCCAGGACTGGGGAAGATGCGGCGACCTTGTCTTTTCCTGCACACCATCTTTTCTCTGAGCATCACCTCCGGCACTTAACAGCCCCCATAAGAGACAGGGCAGAGCTGGAAACCTTTGGGCTGCTTGAGACACTCCCCCAGGGAAGCCACATACCCTGTTCCCAGGCTGGCAAGGGGATATGGCAGTTGGAGGCAAAGAGGAGATGCAGTTGGCCTGGTGGGACGTATGCCACCCTGCCATCATCCAGGAGAATTTGGGATGCCAGGCACCAGATCTCTCATGACCCACAAAGCCCTGTACAACCAGCTCGGGGCAATGCACTGGGCACAGCATGGCCTGATCCTGCAGCAGGTGTCCCTGCTGCGCTGTGCGAGGGGTGAGGAGGGTCTGAGGCACTGCCTGCTCCAGGAACACACCCACAGATCCACCGGTGCCTGCAGTGGCTGGTGTGGGCTCAGGGGCCCTCTGTCTGCCCACCCCTTGGGGCTGTGCTCCCCATCTCACTCCCATCAGGGGTTCAGGGTGCCAGGGCTGGGGCCAGGCTTACAGTGGGGATCCAACTGGTTGTGTGTGGGGGGGTGCCCAATTTCCCAGCCCATGGACAGGGTGGCCAGCCCCCAGACCCTCTCCCTGCACCCCCTACATCAGAGAAGCCCCCAGATCTGGGAGCTCTGTGCTGCCCGCTCTGTGTCCCTCCAGGATCCGGTCACTAACAGCCTTGGTGGCATCTGCTCAGACGTGTCCTCACTGCTCTAATCAGCTTAAGGGTGAGGGATCTGATGTCAGTGTCTCCTCTGGGGAGGGCTCAGGCTGTGGGGGCCTGATGCTGCCAGCAGGGAGCCAATGTATGGGAAAGGAGCTGCAGGGACTGGGGAGGGCGGCCCTCCCAGGGGGGTGTCCCTTCCTCCAGGGTCCCTGAGCCTTGCACAGCCTGGTGCCCAAGGACAGCAGGACGTGAAGCAGGGGAGGAAGGGGTAGTTCTCCCCATACAACCAGCGTTCAGGCTGGAGACCCCCCCCAGGCTTGACCTTGCAAGGGCAAAATGAGGGGGCTGGCCACAGCTGGTTCCCTCAGAGCTGGGGCAGGGGGCCGTGCCCCGCCCAGGAAGCCTGCATCAGGGCTTAGGTAACTGCATGACGCAGGGCAGGACATGGATTAAGGGATGTGGGTCACTAGTAGCTTCCTCCCCCCTGCCATCCCACTCCTATAGGGAGTAGCACTACATACCCCCAATGCAACAGGCTGCAGCTGAGGACTTTGAGTCCTGCTGCTCCAGAGTGGCACCCCAAAAGCTGGGAACCAGCCCTGCACTCCCGGGGGACAGCAGCCAGGAGGGAGGGTGGGGGACACCTATGCACAACCGCACCAGTGATGCTCTCTCCTTCTCGAGGATGCAGAGCACTACATACCCCCAATGCAACAGGCTGCAGCTGAGGACTTTGAGTCCTGCTGCTCCAGAGTGGCACCCCAAAAGCTGGGAACCAGCCCTGCACTCCCGGGGGACAGCAGCCAGGAGGGAGGGTGGGGGACACCTATGCACAACCGCACCAGTGATGCTCTCTCCTTCTCGAGGATGCAG